GTAGAATCGGTGCGACAAATGAAATGGCAATCAACACCAACGTCGGTGCGTTTCCCGTCAGCTAATATTGCATCCGGTATTTCGACACCACCTTAAAAGTGACTTCAGCTAACAGTTCATATAGCGAGGCTTTATAGACGGCACAAGCACTGGTGTAAAAACTCCCGCATACCGGCTGATTGGTTGCCGTGTGAACGGCAATGCTCGTGAAATCATCCTTCAGGGAAAGGGAAACTTCTGAATTGTCGCACAGGAAATTCGACGGCAAGGAGGCAGGCTAGCTGATGTTCAGGTTACTGCTGCCACCGAAGAGGTCAAGTGGCTAAAAATCCGCACATTTCCGTTTGAGGGTTGGCAGCAACCAACCATTGCTGCCAACCTCCAGCCACAAGAAATTAAACAAGTTTTGCCCGTAAATTCAAGCCCGGTTTGATAGAGCGTAGTCGTCGCACCGTCTCTTTGCTTCTAACAACTCAAGACACCGTCTGAACAGGCCATCATCATCATCGTCATCTTCCTCGACCGCCGCTTCTCCTATCGGGAGGGTCGCGGAGTGAACCGGCCACAACTCAATTAAATTTTACCATTTGCTATGCAAAGGTGTTGGACCGGCCAATAACCTGTGCGAACAGCAATATCTTGATCCGTAGATGTATACCAAAAATTGTCCTCCGTGCCATAAATTGCTGGCAAGAATAACCATCTCTGACAGCGTCCGAATTCTGTCGGACTCGGACTTCCAACCGAGAGGTTGTGCGATCCAGTTGGCCAGGGTCGTGTGACTCGCCTTCCTTTCTTCCGAGGTTAACAAACGAGTATCATTGCGTGGGAAAAAAACAGGAGACTGCTCAGATGCACGTTCCACGCAGTTGTATGCTCCGTCCTGGCTGATGGCAGGGAAACAGAGATCAGCGCCCGAGGATTAATTTCACGAAAAGAAAGGCGTCACAAAACGGTGTCGTCGAGAAAGTGTAAGGAAGACGGACATGAGAACGGACAGAAACTTTGCCTTATCATTTTCCTATGCGGCGACAGCCAAATGGACCCTGCGCCGTTAGCAACCGACCAGAGCTAAACGGGAAAAAGCCGTCATCGGGGAAGAGGGGGGTGGCATTGAAGATGAACGAATGAACATCACAACGGTTAAGACCTGGAACGAACATGGAA